GAGTGCAGAAACCGAGTGGGACAATTATACCACATGCGAGGTCTCTTCTGAGGACACCGATGACAAACTGGCGTATTATCTTCAAACCTCGCTGCTCTTCTTTCTCCCACTTTCTATCATTCTGTTTTGCTACTTTGCCATCCTCAAGACCATTTTTAAAAGGAAAAGAGGAAAAAAGTTGAGATCCGTGGTGGTCGTGCTATGCATCGTTGCTGCCTTCCTCATCTGTTGGGGACCCTATAATGTTTTACTTTTAGTTGAAGCCTCGTATGGACAAGACTTGAATACACAAATTGCAACTGCATATCAAGTTTGTCAGATCCTCGCATATTCTCACTGCTGTATGAATCCTCTGCTGTACATGCTGTCCCAGAAAATGAGAAAACATCTAATGGCTCTTTTACACTTTGACAAAGTATTCAGGAAGGAAGGGGCAGCAGCTATGCCCACCAACCATTGCAATGACACAGAGCCTGTGCTAGAAATGAACACAGTGTAGACATGTAGACGTTGAGAATTACACTGGTGTTTGTATGCATTATTATCATATTTAGGAGTACTGAAAATAAATTGTTGTACTTTATCCAGTTCAAAGGATGAAATGAATGAATTTCAACCTGAGTAATGTCATATTGGTGCATAAATATATTTTATGTTATCATGCTTATGACGATGGAATGTTATCTATTCTAAATAATAAAAGATAATTTAGATTTTCTTCTACATTATTTATATATATATATTTATAATGTATTATTTTATTTACACCCAAACAAGTTCAAATAAACTGAATATATTTATTCAGTTTATTTGAAGTCATGTGATCTGTAGCACGTTTGTGTCCATTTCCTGTAAATGCAAAGCATTTGTTTTTCCTTCTAGCTGTATGTCAAACATTATCACCTGCTCATCAGATGTTATATCTCTGTCCACATCTGTTTAGTCTTTGTCTTCATGTGTCTAAGCACCAATTAACCAGAAAATGTCCCCACATGGACCCACTGTATCTGCAAATAAAGCACTTCTGAGTCTTGTTAATCATTTCCTTCCTCTATTCTTTACAAATAGGCCTGGTACATACGGCATGTTAGTCCGACCCTCAATGAGTCAATCGTAACATAACTAAACCCGTGACATGACTCAACTTTCAGTTCCCAATGTTTTTATAGCCATCTTTCTCTAAAAAAAACAAAAAAAAAAAAACAACCCATCATCCTCCTTTTTGGTCCCGTTGGTCCAAATATTATAATTGTATATAATGTGCTGTCAATTTGCCTTGAACATGGTTGAGCAGCGCAGCCCTGATGGCTCCATGGGGGGTCCAGAGAGGAGCGTACAGGGACAGCTCAGTGGGCCACTGTAACAGCACTCATATCTGTCTCTGGGGGTAGATTAGGCTTAATTAACTAAACCATCCAGCACGCTCCAACGAATGGATACGAGTCAAGGGCAGGGCAGTCGCGGGCATGCTCACACATATTCCAGCAGGCAGGTAGTAAAATGAAGTTTCAGAAGAATTTTATCAACAAGATTTTGATAAAGAGTGGGAAATTAATGATACCAGTGAAGAGCTTAACATAAATTAAGTGCTGTTTCAAACAGGTTTGAATGCATTCGTCCAAAAGATAAAGTCTCCGCTACAATATTATGGTACAACTTAAATTAACCATAATTTAAAACTTTACCTCATATAAGTTAGCAGTGAACACCTGACCTAACCCTGCATCTTTCCATGTCCCTGATACTGTGTTTTAAGTGTAAGGTGAGCTCCGTCCAAAAACCAAAGCTCCCAAAACTTCTACTTATTTGAATTACATTTAGCTCCATATCCTGCATTAAAGCTGAATACTTAATGTACTTGGAAAATAAAGTGCACTACATTTATTGGGAAAATGAATAACCCCAAAGACCAGAGAGGAAAAGCACATAACAATGAATGAACCCTTTACCTTTACCCTACAGGAGAAACAATATAAGGCGCTCCATTTCTTATCTAAGAGTTGGTACGATGTCTTTCCCCAGATCATTTTCTTAGCAAATGACGCTGTTGTTCTATCCTGTTTTTAGCCATGAGCCAAACAGCTGTTGTTGTTTTCTTATGTAGTCTCCACCACTCACCCTCCTTGGCCCCAACATTTTCTCCCCGATCGTCTCTCCGGGGCGCCTCACGCACATTTTCTCCTCATTGATATCTCTTCTTTAATTCTGCCTATCTGTAACGATAATTACCTCCACCATATGTGAGTTTAATTGGTGACTCGAAAATGTGTAAATGTGAGCCTGTGAGCTCTACGCGTGTGTCGCTAATAAAGTCTTATTTGTTGTAAAGCTGGACTGTGAGGCGAACGTGTGCAAATCGATTTGCGTGTGTCAGGCCTGTCACTGCAAACAACTGTTTTACTGAACAAATATGGACGACTTAATCCTCGCCAACAAACATTGGCATCTATGACATTTCACTAATGCACCTCATCCCTATCAAATTTGTTACATGAGTAATATGTTACAAAACAGGATTAGTATCACACACACACACACATATGAATCACACTGTGTACATTTATTCAAGCCCACATCTTTAGATGTCTAATCAGGGGAGAAGGATTTAATTTAATTTATTCTTTGAAACAGAAATATCTCTCAGTTTAAAATAAGGACCAGTTCCCTAGTAGTGCATCTAAGTCAATTTTAAATTGCATTTTACCATTTCTCCACTAGAGGGTACATAGGTATAGTCCTGTTCATTATTATTATTATTAGATTGTACTGTTGATTAAAGCCTTGTGCAGTTCCCATATCAAGAATTGACAAATTCATGATTTAAAAAATACACCTAAAAGTCATTATTGTTCCCTTAAAAAAACTTGATTTTTTCCCCCAACATTTTAGGTAAAATGTCTCCGCTCCTCATCTCTCTCTCTTTAGGTCAACCTCCTCTCCTTACCTGCTGTTGCTGGATGAGAAATCAGTGGTTAACTATCAAAGAGACTTAATTAACAAATCAAACATCTGGATATTTAGGCTAGACTTACTGCAAATGTCTAGCTGACAACTGGCCAGTTGATGTATCAAACACTGTGTCCTGCTGCTTTTTCATACTTTTTATTTTTCCCATCTGGCTTTCTGAACAGCTCCTCTTACATGTTTTTTTTTTTTATTTGAGCAATTTAATTATATATATAGTTGATTTATATTTTAGATATCATTGAAAATCAAACTTGATTTTATTTGTTAAAATACATGTACAAATGTATGCCTGCAATAGACCTAAAAGTTGTTAAAAAAATAATTCTGGAAACTACTAACTTTATTTAGAATTATTCCTCAAGGATTATCCACCAAGGCTCAAGTTTTCAACACGACAAGACATGCAACCAGGCTTTAACATGGGCCGGGTCCTGTTCTGGCTCAAACCTGTGTGACACAATAAAAAAACAGAAAAAAGAAAAGAAACCAGTTGCTGGAACCACCTGTTCTCTACGTTTCGTAATCTGCCA